GATCAGTTGCGAAATGCGCTTTGAATGGCTGCTGGCTGTAAGTTGTCGACAATGTAAGCTAATCATTTTCAAAGCGGTTAGGATGGCTGAAGGCTGAAGTGGTTAGGATGGCATCTTATGAAAGTAACGAAAAGAGATTATCGATGAAAAAGGAGGTGTATCAAATGAAAGAGCAAAACTTACTATATCGCCGTTTGTCTTTCCATGGAAACCTTTACCGAACACAGATACCACAAACAGATTGATGATGAATGAACACAGTAAGGCAATGGCTGACTCGATAAAGAAGTATTTATTCGCTATTTGCACTTGATTCTTCTTGCTTCGATCAACAACACGACTCTGAAACAATTTAAAGTAGTCGTTCTCAACGTATTTCGGCCAAATGCTCTTCCGAGTTAAAATTTGCGCTTAAATCGCCCAATTTTTCTCCCAACAGAACAGCCGCTTTCAAAAAGGCAAAAAGAGCATTATGAAAATCTTCAGAACTTTTTTCGTTGTTCTCACTAACAATAAGTAGCGTTTTCGCCCAATGATGGACGATATTATCGGTACTCGCAGAAACTGATTTGGAGTTTCATATTGAAAGTCTGCTGTTTGATGTCCACGTCGTTCTCCAAAAATTTCTATTACGAATCTCAACAAGACTGGCCATGCTCTCATTGAAATAACCAGTAATTCATGCAACTTTCAACAGGCGAACAGTCAAACGTTTGGGACTGATCTACTGCCGCTAAATTTTGTTCTTCATGAAACACTATGAATTTTTGTGACATTAAGGCTTCTTTGCTTTCTTTTGTTCTATTTGCTTGTCCCAATGATTATCGAGCTCATCATTTATTACTGAGATGCTTTGATCCGACTGAAAATTGAGCGTACATAGTCGAGAATGTCCACAAGAAATCTCATCTGTAGACATTTGAGTCAACCATCAAAATTTGCTCGTAAAACAATTGATTCACTTACCCTAACGAGCGCTGAATGAAGGTAGAGATTGTGAGGCATAATCACAGCACCAACAACGCCAATAGCCATTTGAAACTCGTCTGAACCACAATTACTGCACCACGGTATGAATGTACCTTTTGCTACTTCTCCCTAAACTTGTTCACATTGGAAAAATCATTGAGCAATTTGAACAGTTATCTCGAGTGTTCATTCAGAGAACTATTTTTTCGATGTGCTGATCATCGCTAGTGCGCCGAATGGATGATTTTCATTAGTTTTTCAATCTCAGCAGCTATGTTCTTCGGCAACCGCGAAATTTTCTCAATTTCAATCCATTTGCCAATTCCAGGAAACACCTTTCACTATCGTATTCCATTAGCACATTGAATTTCTCAAGTTTATGCCGAAATACGAAACTCTTAGCAAGATAGTGCCGGCTTGTACCTCGACAATTTCGGAACCCACAAAAGAACATTTTCCTCAGTATCAGTTGCTGACTGAGGTTGAATGATTCTCAAGTTAGGAAAGGAAAGAGCTAACCAAGTTCGGTTGAGTTGTAAAGAATTCATATCCGAACGTAACGGCCATAACTGAGATGAGAAAGCAGAAAAAGAACTCAAATTTGCGAACACCGTATCGATCGAAGAACATGAACGTGAATGTGTCACAGATTGTTATCAATACGCCAGCCCATAATGGAATTCTGAATTCATTTCAACAAAAAAATATTTCGTCTGAATTGTTCACTTTTTGCTATTTAGACTTTAAAAGAACCAGTGAACAATACATGTTATTTCAATTTTTGTGACACTAAGGCATTATCTAGCGTCTCTATGACTTTTTCGGCTGCCAAAATCATGTTATTTCAATGTATTACTTGCCGACTGATTATCAACGGAATAAATTTTGCACAACTCAAATTGAAGCACCAATAATTTTGCTTTCAACACTTACACCGTATTCGATATCAGATAGATGGCTATTGAAGTGCCGATAACCTCCTGCATATCTGCGCCCACAATAGCCACCTCCACCAAAATCCATAGTATTAAACGTGGAACTCGTGGATAATATTCGTGCGCCACTTCGGCTAAATGCATCCCAGAAACGATTCCTAGACGTGCCGATAAACGTTGCAAGAGCAAGCCGAGTACATGCGCCAGCAGTAATACCCATATCAACTGCAAAATAATTCATAGTTGAACAGATCTCGCGCCCAACTCCTTGTGCACTCATCATTAGTGGATCATTCGAAGAAACAATCACTGAACACAACAAACAAAGAGCTAACTGCCGCAAAAAACATTTATTTAGTTGATTTGCGGAGTTGATCATGATGATTGATGATAAGTGTGTTTTATCTTGTGTAAACATGCCATTCCATTTAAGCAGCAAATTCGTCGCTTCTAACCCTAATGGCATGTTACAGTTTCAACTCTCCTTCACGATCAAAATTATTCCCCTAAATGCGCTACCGTTAAGAACACCACATTCTCTTACTTCACCTATCACGAAAACCACAAAACCACATTCTCTTACTTCACATCCTCCAATACTTCACCTCCTCTAATATTCAACGAATCGTCGTTGACGTACACGTGCAAAACAATGAGCATGAATTGCGGTTTTATGTCGCATTGAATTGATCATATGCTCATTGTTAGAACAATGTTGTCGTGTTTAAGAGACAACATAATGGCTCGAACGTTCGAAACATTTCTTTGTGAAGCTAAAGAACCTTGTATTTTGCAACTGCACCAGATCGCAAGTCACTTTCGATGTTGCCCGGATCCAAATAGGCGATACTCATCAGAAAGCCGGGGCCTGTAAAGGCCCATAGAATTCGAAAGCTGAACCATTTCTGAAATAAGTAATAATCGAATTACGATTGGAAATTCCAAAATTTGCGGCAGATTTCACCGAAAGTTTCTCCCACTACGATCATTTGTTCCAGCGAAAACGAATTTCATGCAGCCATAGGAGAATTTTTCTTTCGCCTTGCTCAGCTAGTGATCGATCGAACATTTAATTTATTCTTCTCCAAAATCCCATCAAATCAATAATTGATCGTATCAAAATAAGGTCAGTGATTTGAAATGTGATCCGTTCTGAGATCGTTGATTACGTAATAGTTTCTTTTGAGGGTACTACAATGCAATATGAAGGATTCTTATGAAAGATACAGAGCTGGCTGGATTGCATTCGTTAGCTTCGAAATTTCGATTAGAACCAAGAAGCATGAAAATGATCGAAAAGAAGTTCAAAAGAAAAACTGGTAAAGAAATTCAAAAAAAAACTGTTCTATAATCTATTGAATGATCGCAAAACTCACATCTTCGATATCGGGAATTTTCACTCTATGGCACATGTGATCAACCTCTTTTTTTGTCGCCTCATTCTTCTCACCCTTAGAGAAAACTTTTGGAGGCTTAGGCGTACGTTGTGGGGTTATGACGGCCGACATCAGTGAAAAATACTGCCACTATGGTGATTCTGTCGACTTATAACCTAAGAAATAGCATTGGTTATCAGTCAATTATCAGTTCGCATGATAAGGAAGGAGCGTATCGTATCGCACAATAATATGACAAGCGTTCAGTGCTCTTCAATCTGATCGAACACTACCAAAAAATATCGCGCTACGCCCAATATCATCAGAAGCACTATGTGCAGAGCATCGATATTCGAACGTGTCCAATTGGATCCTCAAAAATGCATTCACTGCAGAAAAAATTAAATAATCTGAAACTTTTTAGAACTTTTCGCCATTTACCTATAGCTTATTGATGCAAGTAACATCAAAAATGCATTTTATAAAGCTGAACGAAACAACGGCATGAAGCGATTGTGCTCTGTTAATGTATGAAATACTATAGCAAATATTATCACTCAATTCTGGTTATGCGCAGTCGAATGCCACGAATACTTGTGTTTGTATTGTATGCAAATTGAACCAAAAATCATTGATATTCGATTGTAACTTATATAGTTCTTATACCTCTTAACTGACATGTACTAAGCAACAATCACATGAGTATTTTATGAGTATGTCCATGACATGAAAACAATTAATTGCTTGAATGCTACCAAGTTTGATAAGCGATCCATCCGCATTCGAGTTCACCATTTACACGTACGTACATACATACGTAATGCGATCTCTGATTTATGAATTTTGGTCATTTCATCAAATGCACTGGTGCATACTTAGTCCACTGATTAACACCTCTCGCTGCTTATTGTGAGAAACAAACTCCATCCGCAAAAAAAAGAAAATCACCCTTCTTACAAAAAAAAAAGTGGCACGTCTTCTTACTTTTGCTGAGAATAAGCATCGGCAACAATTTCATGCCTTATGGCCGCCACAGTATCGTTTATTATGCAAATTTTATAATGTCATCTCAAACAGAGTAAAGATGTGGTGATGTTACNTGGATATTTAACTTTCGAATTTGAAATTGGATTTCTTTTGCTGATGATTCAGAGTCGCCGTTGCAGCTTTTCAAATGCTTTCATCAGACGGCATGAAATTCTCTATAAGTTTTCATTCGAATGCGCTACCTGGATACACTGTTAGAAATGTGCGTGACTGCTTACTCATGCAATCGCAACTAATTTATGCAACGATTTAAGGTTAGCAGACAGGGAGGGACTGATGCTTAAAGTGGATAAAAATCGAACTTTCTCTGAACTGTTGAACGAATAAAAGGTTTTCAGTTAGGTGCTTTTAGCCACATGAGATCGATCAACTGCTATCGACAAGGATGCTGTTTAATCACTGAAAGTTTTCTTGATTCACCATCAAGCATCATTCCCAGATGGTTTCATTAATTGAGCACAGGTTTTCAGTAGTTGAGTACGGTAAAACTGAAAATTCTTCGCAGAATCTATTGCGTAAAAAACCTATCGTTTCCGCTAAATTCATGCATTTCGTGCCGCATTCAAGTTCTTGCATTCAAGCAATCACATATCTCTGTATTCATCACACACAAAATTCAAAAACACAGAACCCTTCGAAAAGAGTCTACTTCCATAAATACAACTCATGGCAGTTGCTTGCGATCAACTCATGCGCTTATGGCGAACTTTCATCTGCCCGTTTGCAAACATAATCAAGATTTTTGATCTTTTAAAGACTTCACTAAATGTTCATGTAAAAATCAGGTGTTCAAAAAATACTCAGGTTGTGAGAATGCTTCGGGTTGTGATCGTAGCTCTGAACAAACACACCCGATATCGACCCGTTATCATTTGTTTACTCATTGTCAGAGCTCACATCACAACCTGAAGTTTCATGCTAACCACATAATACAACGCAACAAATGAATAATTTCGGCCTTCACATTAAAAGTGAACTCACCTGTAAAAGAACATTTCATAACATCTGAATCAAACCAACAATTCAATCCGTCAATGTATCATTATTCCATTATGAATGAATTGTAATCGTTCGCAACCCCAAATTCCATGACTATTTTTGCATGTGTTTCTCAAAAAAGAATTGAACAATTCATAATAGCAGCAGCAAGTATTGTGTTTCTGCTTGAGCAAACGCCTTTTAATGCATCACAATGATTTAGCATCATCACATTCTCACGTATGTATGCAATGTTTGAATTAAAGGTATTGATTCAGAAACAATGCGATTAGAAGATGACAGAAACAGTGCAGCTTGATCAGAAAAAAACCTTGTTTTAGCTGATTGAAGTTCGAAAATTGAAACGAATAGTGGTGACTGCTGATAAAATCTGTAGTTTATGAATGGTACATGAACATTAACACCTGCCGAATTCAGTTGATCAGTAGGCTAATCGCTACGGCTTCACATTCGGAATTTCGTTCCTTTTTCAGCCGAGCATCTGCTTTGTGCATGCAATCAATTGAGTTAAAGATTCGTCGGTGTTCACCTCACTTTAGTCTGCTTGGAGAAAATTTTAACCGAAAGCAACAATACACTTTCTCCGCATATTCATTTCTATTTCTTAGTGTCTATAGACCAAGTTTAGTCGTTCGAAATTAGTTCATGAGAAATCACTAGTGACGAAACGTCCCTGTAATAATGTCAGATTGATCCGATTGCTTAGTTTTCGATAGTGGACCCATGCTAACACCCTATCCAATGCCTGCATTCGTAGCATTTCGTTTAGTACGTCGCCAGTCGCGTCATGTCTATTGCAAGTATCAGCAAGCAATATAAATAGACATGTCACACTGGCTATTTGCCGAACAAAATTTATGTATGTTTTCAATGTTGTCATCAATTTTAGAGTTTCGCTTTTACTCATGGTACCTGCAAATCGACTTTCGCTCATACCACATCGTCCATATTCATATCAATCGTTTCGTACTTCAGCAAAGTCTTTTTCACTATAGTGAAATAGAATTTATGCATATCGCTCAAGATTAGTCATTTGTTTTAGTGAACATCAGTGTATTTTATTGAATCTTATCAGTAGAAGAGGTTTTTTTGCTTTCATTCAAACGTTTGCGACTTTTACATGATTCAGTTAATCACTGAAATTCATTTTTATCATCATATGAAGTGGAATTCAGTATTACCTATTGGCGATACATAGGTAATTGTATTTGTTTATATGCGTGTATGTGTTGTTGTCGATCATCGTTCTTGATCAGAATGAAGATTCATTAATCCTAACTGGATTAGAAACACTAAACCATTAAGCAAAAGAAGTTCATTTGTTGAAAACCTCTCATGATAATCATGAAAAATCTCCGAAGCATTGTCGAATGTAAATGAACATTCTTTTTGTTGTGAAAATCAACATTGTTTGGCGTTTTGATTAGGCGGCGCCTAGTGTTACGCTATGAATTAATTCGCT